CCATTGCTATAGAAAATAGAAATGGAGACATAGGGTCTCCTTGTCTAAGACCTTTAGCAGCACTGAAAGGTATTGAAGGCTCCCCATTTATCAGAATAGTATAACTGACTGTTTTCATGCATTCTAGGATCCAACTGATGAACTGATTAGGGAATCCCAACTCCACCAAGACTTGTTCCAGATATATCCACTCCACTGAATCATAAGATTTTTGTAGGTCTATTTTGATCATGCATCTTGGTGACATATGTTTTCTTGTATAAGCTTTCACTAGTTCATGTGCTAAAATAATGTTGTCTCCAATCTTCCTCCCTGGTATGAATCCTGCTTGTGACTCACTGATTATAGAGGCAATGACTGTTTGAATCCTTTCTGCTACAACCTTTGATATCAATTTATACATAACAGTGCAACAAGCTATTGGTCTATATTCTTTCACTGTTCTGGGCTTGTCGTTTTTTGGAAGCAATGTGATAGTTGCATAGTTGATGGCATTGTACATCTTCCCAGTGCTGAAAAACTCTTTTACTGCTTCACAGACCTCTTCTTTAATGGTTCCCCATGATTTCCTGAAGAAGGTAGCATTATAACCATCTATCCCAGGAGTTTTATCTTCACCTATGGACTCAAGACCTTGTTGGATTTCCTCTTCACTAACTGGAGCTATTAGGGCTAGTTTCTGCTGATGAGTCAGTGTTGGTCCTCCCTTCATATTCATCTTGTTAATGGCTGGTAGTTCTTTTGCAGAAGATCCCATCAAGGATTTATAGAATTTCACAATCTCCTCTTGTATTTCTTTTGAATCTGTAAGATTCCTTCCTTCTAGTGATGTGATTTCCTTAATGGTATTTCTCTGACTTCTCTCCTTAACCACAGCTGAGAAGTACTTTGTATTTGAAGCCCCTAATTGGATCCATTTAGCTCTTGATTTCTGTTTCATGATGTTCTCCTCTATCATGGACCACTTTTCCAGGTTCTGCATTGTAGTCCTTTCCTGTTCTACTAAATCATCTGACCATTTTGATGTCAGTTGCTTCTGGATCATCACTAATTCATTTCTTGTTTTGTCTACTCTCTGTGTAATGTTTCTGAATTCCTCATTATTCAACTGCTTGAATAATGGTTTTAGTGCCTTCAATTTCATCTATATATCTTTCATCTTCCAATTTGAAAACTTTTGTCGCCATACTTGCTTCACTATATCCTGAAACTTGTCATGATCAGCCCAAGTGTTGAAGAACCTGAATGGAACTTTGATTTCCCTCTGATTTTCCTGTAAAGCAAGCACCATTGGATTATGATCTGAGATTAGTGGCACATCATATTCCATCACAACATGACCCCATTCCAGCATCCATTCATGATTACCAAAAGCCCTATCCAGTCAGCTACAAATTCTCTCATTACTTTGTTGTTTATTAGTCCAGGTGTAGTAATCCCCTGTCCATCTTACTTCATTGAGCAGCAACTCATGAATATAGTCATTGAAATCTTTGATCTCCCCATATTGTACTGGATTCCCATATAATCTATCTTGTGGATATAACACTACATTAAAATCTCCAACAATTAACCATGGCATATTCATTCCTTGAGCCAGTGTTTTAAGTGTATCCCACATACTTTTACTTTCCTCACATGTGTTATACCCATAGATTACAGTTATAACACATGTCTTATTTGATGCTATTGTATTAACTTGACAATGCAGTAATTGAGCTTCTTCTTTCAGCTTATCTACTGTAAATAGTCTACTATCCCATAGTAGCCAGATTCTTCCATTGATTGCACTCCTGTAGTTATTCAGAAACCCCTAGTTGGGTGCCACATTAGCTGCCACAGTTGTTGCTTTGTGCTCTTTGACTTTGGTTTCTGTTATTCTTGCTAGGGTAATATGTTTTGTCTTTATATATTTCCTCAGTTCCTTCTGTTTATACTTCTTATTTGCACCCGTTACATTCCAAAAAAGCCAATTCATTTGTTAATAACTGGTTCTACCTCCTTTGTCAGGAGGAGCTGACTTGGATCCCCCATGGCCTCTATTTAACCCTGCAAATACATTTTTTATTTGCACTGAACATAATATTGAAAACTGTTGTAGATTGAGTTCTGGTACCATGTCTATTGCTTTTCCCTTGTTAGGGGTACTGATACCATTCCCCTCTCTTTGTTGTTGATCTTGCACCAAATCAGTTGCTTGTATCTCAACAACTTGCTTGTGTTCACCATCTGTTTCTATGTTTCTAGCCTCTTTTCCTTCATCCTGGTTTTCTCCTTTGTTGGTGCTATCATGCTGCTCTTTTGGTTGTTCTTTTGTCACCCATTTCTGTACTATTTTCTTGGGTCCTCCTTGCTTAGTTGGTTGCTCTTCATTCTTTCTCTGTATCTTTGGGCATTCATGACCAATAACTTGACATTTCTCACAAAATATTGGTTTCCAGTCATATGATACAGCCTGTTGAAACACTCTGCCACTAGGATCCTTCACTTTAACTTTTTCTGGAAATGACTTTGTCACATTAACTTTCACAAGCATTCAAGCATATGACACACACATTTGCTTGGCAGTGCACTCATCTGCATACATTGGTATCCCTATAGCACTTGCTATCCTGCTTGGTGAATTAATTCCCCAACAGTTCATTGGTAATTGTGGGAGTTTGATCCATATTGGTATCTCAGTAGGGAACTCCTTATCAAAATCAAAATCAGCAATCCAAGGCTTCAAAATGATGGGTCGATTGTTAATAGTGTATGGTCCAGTACATAGAATTTCCTGCATATCATCAATAGATTGGAATTTGATGATGAAATTCCCTTCCTCATGCATAAACATATCTGGATTTGCTATTTTGTTCCACTTGATATCTACATATGTACGCATTGCATTATACCCTGGACAATCTCCAATTACATAAGCAATTAGGGCTCCTTTCCATTTCTCAATTTCCCTATCCACATCCTCCTTTTCCAATTGAATAACAACATTGCCATCTACAAATTGAGAAGCAATATAAGACAGAGTCATACCATTCTCTACTGATCTGTTCTTCGCAAAGAGACTCGCCCATTTTTGTGTTGGCTGTTGTGCTGTAGCATGCAGTACTGTTCCATTGGGTTCTTGAGGTTTCTCTTCCTCGACTTGCTTTAAATCAACTCGGATTGTTCCTTCAACTTCTTTCAGCTTCAATTGAGTTAGATCTGGGCTCAATTGAAGTTTCTTAGCAGCTGTTGTTCCTTTATACGACGATCCTAGCTCTAGCTCTTTCTGATTCAGCTCACCCATTTGCACTGGTGTTACTTGACTTTGTTCATCCTCTGTAGTTTCCGGTTGCATGCGTCCTCCAACTGAGCTTCCAAATGTGACTACTGGTAGTTTCCTAGGTCTGCCGCGTCCTCTTCCACGACCACGATCACGACCTCGCCCTCCTGCCATGGCTAATCACGCCGGCGTAGGTTTACTAACATGCGCCGAGAGCATGAGCTTTTTCTATATATACGTTACTTTAATATGTTAGTTTTCTTATTTTATATGTTTATTAGTTATTCACCTATTTTTTAATACACATGATTTAATTATTAAATATTCACATTTTGGTCCCGGACATAATATTTGAGGCCCAATAGCACCAATGTATCCTGAATTCTTATGTTCATGACGAGAAATTTTTTCCGATTTTTTACTCAACAGGTCTGTTATTTTATATGTTAGTTTTATTATTTAATATTTTAGTTTATTATTGTATATGTTAATTTATTACTGTATATGTTAGTTTATTATTGTATATGTTAGTTTTATTATTTAATATGTTAATTTTATTATTTAATATATTAGCTTATTAATGTATATGTTTGTTTGTTTATTATTGACTTATTTTTTACTATACTAAAATTAAATAATTAATTTTCATAACTATACAAGATTTAATTATTAAATAATTACATTTTGGTTGCGGACATAATATTTGAGGCCCAGTAGCACAATTTATCTTGAATTCTTTTGTTCTTACATTTGTTGACTATAATTGGAGATAATTTGTGTTTGAATATCAGCTTTTTGACGTATTTTTGAGAATAAGAGATACTTAAATGAATTAATTTTATAACTACAAGGATACTACGCTAAAGGGCACTACGTTTTCCTACGCTAAAAGGTCACTACATTACAAATACGAACACTACATTAGGCCACAAGATAACACTACATGGCACTAAAGTAAAAATCTATCTAGTTTACTAGTCTTTAAGCAAATTAATAATCTAAACCAAATAAAAATAACAAATCAATTTAATCACAAAATTACATATACCACAGTAAAAAGTAACTAATTAATATTTTTTTAACAACTAATAACAATTTTTTTATTTTACAAATTATTTTGGCACACTAATACTATAGTCCGGATAAAAAATAACAAATTAGTTAAATCACAAAATAACATAGAGCACATAAAAAATAACAAATATGCATTTTTTATACGAGTTTTATCAAAAACTAAATCGAAATACCTCAATTTAAGGTTTTAGGAAAGTCAAAGAATTTGTGATTTTGAGCCGAAACAACCAACAATGTCCGAGATAACTCCTTAGTTAGCATGTGGGACCGAGAATCTTTACTTTATGTGGGACGGATGGGCTCCACTCAAACTTTTTGGTATTAAAAATGGAGGGGGGGGGGGGGGGG